GAAGAGCTTCTGCCTCAGAGCTCATCTCAATCTCCCCTCTGGCAGGTTAAAGCCGTTCCCCTTGTCCTGTCCCTACATCCCTTGTCCAAAGCCCCTCTCCAGGTTTCCTGGAGCCCCTTTAGGCACTGGAGCTGCTCTAAGGTGTCCCCTTCAGGAGCCTTCTCTTCTCCAGCTGCCCCAGCCCAGCTCTCTCAGCCTGGCTCCAGAGCAGAGCGGCTCCAGCCCTCGCAGCAGCTCCGTGTCTCCTCTGGCCCCACTCCAACCTTCTAAGTAGACCCTGCTCTCAAACTACCCTGCAAACTAAACACCATGTGGTGGTGGCTTTTCGAGGTGCTTCTCACATGGGATCCTTCCACATCATCCTTCTTACGATCAGTGGGTCTTGTTTAGGGGAACTGGGCTTTTAGGATATTTGCTGTCATCCCCATGTCCCTCTCAGCACAGCAGCAATTCCTGGGATCACCATCCCAATAGCCTCCAAACCACAGCAGGCGCAATGCCTGGGGCTGCCCTTCCCCTGCTCCTTTCAACCCCAAACCCTAAAGGCTTTACAGGGGAACGAGTGACAAGGACTAAAACCAAGCCCAGAAGACTCTTGTTTCCAGCTTACTCCATTCAACATGCTCCAGGCCAAGGAACAGAAAGACAGGAAGAAAACAACACCAAAGCATCCTCTGCTGACGACTGTTTTCTACTGAGCAGGCATTTCTCTGACAAATGTTAGATTATCTTCTTCTTTACTTATTTATAGTGCTGGAGGGGTAGGACTGTCCCTCAAGAGGGGCCGCGAAGCTTTCTGAAGGAAACTTCAGAGCTTCTCCATCAGTGCCAGCCTGTTATTTGCAGACAGGTTACTTTTAAACACATGCCTCAGTAGTTTAGAAGAAAACTCTTCAAAGTGGGGCAGTGTTTGAGTCACCCATCGGGGGTCTATGAACACAACATCAGCTACACGTAAGGTTTTCTGCTTCCAAAATGGGTCTTAAAGTGGCTCTGTCTCTCCATGAGAGGGTGAGCTGGGGTCTCCTGCAGGTGTTGGTGCTCCCTCCTTCTCCCAGCCAGTCCTCTTGGCACAGTTCCTGGTGGAGTCCACCATGGGCACGACATTCACCATACAGGAGCATGGACATTCCCATTGCTGCCTTGGGATGGATGCTCAGTGGCTTTTGAGGGTGTCCCATTTGCCCTGCTCTGCTTGCAAGAGGCCTGTCCCTTTGGCTGAGCACATGGCTTTGCATGGGGGAGTATCTGCAACGACCAGGAGCATCCTCCTGCCATTATCTTCACCTGCTCCATCAGCCAAGGTGTGTTGGGGTGGAGGATCCCAGCCACAAGGGCAGACACCCTACACACCTTTCTAGCAGCTTCCACAACCCTACAGCACACTCAGCCCCAGAAGGCTCTGTTACCTCTGGGCAATGTCTATGAAACCCGGACATCCTGGTGGCTGCATCTGCTGACACCACATGAATCACAGAGTCATGGAATGGTTTGGGTTGGGAGGGACCTTAAAGCTCCTCCAGCTCCAACCCCTGCCACGGGCAGGGACACCTTCCACTAGAGCAGGTTGCTCCAAGCCCCTGTGTCCAACCTGGCCTTGAACACTGCCAGGGATGGGGCAGCCACAGCTTCTCTGGGCACCCTGGGCCAGCGCCTCAGCACCCTCACAGGGAACAGCTTCTGCCTTAGATCCAACCTGAACTTCCCCTGTTTCAGTTTGAACCCATCACCCCTTGTCCTGTCACTCCAGCCCCTAATGAAGGTCCCTCCTCAGCATCCTTGTAGCCCCCTTCAGACACTGGGAGCTGCTCTGAGGTCTCCAGCAGCTTCTCTTCTCCAGGCTGAACAGCCCCAACTTTCTCAGCCTGGCTCCATACGGGAGCTGCTCCAGCCCCTGCTCATCCTCGTGGCCTCCTCTGGACTTGCTCCAACAGCTCCATGTCCTTCTTATGTTGAGCCACAGAAAGAGGCTGGAAGCAGGAGCAGCATCGCCACCATCACTTAACAGGCTGCTCGATCCATCACAATTCCTCCCTGGCAACTCACTCAGCCCTCTCCTGGTGGCAAAAGGCTGTGCGAGGAGAGGACACCCCCCCACACACAATGTCAATAGGAGCAAATGGAATTGAAGGCAAGCAAATGAGAGCCCTCCTGAGCCACGCTCCTGCGAAGCAGAGGGAGATAAGGGGGAGGAGTGAAAAGGAGAATCCATAAATCTTCGCCTCATTCACAATGATCCGGAGCTCTTATTAAGTAAATTAATTGAAGTTAATTTAACTCGATCATGACTCCCGATCACAGTGATTTACTGAGGGGGAAATTGCATTAGGAAAGGCCACACTCGCCAGATAGAAGAACGGAAGAGAATTAGATCCACTTAGCAATGGGAATTAATATGGAAATAGCAGGTGTAAATTCCACCTTATCAAGAGAGGGAAAATGATCTTCATAAATTCGGAGCAATGGCCCCCGAGTTGCTTATAAATCTATTTAAAACAAAAATATTACAAAAAGTGTGCGAAAATTAATTTCAAATATACTCCCATCTCTCGCCTCCGAGTCAGGTCAGCAGCAGGGGGAAGCTTCATGCAAGGCAGCAGGAAAGGGAGGACACAACTCATCACCCAAGGGATTAGCAGCAGGTACCTCTGGACCTGCAGCAACTCGCCCTGTCACTCATGTCATAGAACCACAGAAGGGTTTGGGCTGGAAAGGACCTTGAGACCATCCAGTTCCAACCCCTGCCGTGGGCAGGGACACCTCACTCTAGCCCATGTCACTCAAGGCTCTGTCCAACCTGGCCCTGGACACTGACGGACAGGAACCCAGCTCCTGCCTGAAGTTTCTTGTGGCAGTGTATTAAATCCCAAAAGATGAAGCCCACGTAAACCCTTTGCACATCACTTTTGGACCCCCCAAAACCTGGATTTCGTAACAGGGACTTCCCCTTAGCATCAGTTAGAAACCACATTGGGAGCATCACTTGGCTGCAGCACCACCAGCCTTTGAACATGAAACACCTTCTGGCTGTGAAGGTGAAAAGGATGCTGAAATAAACAGCTGACAATCCAGTTCGATGCACACAAAGTGGTAAACAAGGTGGTGACTAAACCAGTGCTGCAGCAACTCGCAGTGTGTCCCACCACCACCAGAAGCAAAGCAACAAGAAAGCAGCTCCTGGCTCCTTGCTTGTTGCAGGTCCAAGAGGATGCTATGAATGATGGAGAAAAACCCTATAGGAGAAGCATTTGCCATGTGCTTCCTCCAGCCAGAGCAGATGATGGCTCACACCCCATGCAGGTAACAGGGAGACTGAGTAAGTGATTTATTGCTTCTTTAAAACATAATTGTTTTAATTTGCTGATGGCATTTGATCAAGATATGTCTGAAAGAGCTGGAAGATCCAAACTACATCATGGAATGAAGTCAGAGATGAATATGGATAAAGTGACTCTACAAGTGGCAGCTCTCAGCCAGTCCTGGTGGCATGAACAGGTTGTTCCTGTGCAGAGCCACTGCTCAGCTGAGCAAGACCCATGACCCAGCAGCTTGAGACTCCTGCTCTAACGCTGCCTGAAGCTCCTGCCCTCCTCAGCTCCCACTGCAGATCCTCCATCCATCAGTTATCCACATCTGGAGTAACAAGCTACAAACAGCTGGAGCATGAGTCACTTAATACTAACTAAGCCTGAACTTCATAGAACCACAGACTGGTTTGGGTTGGAAGGGACCTTAAAGCTCCTCCAGCTCCAACCCCTGCCCCGGGCAGGGACACCTTCCACTAGAGCAGGTTGCTCCAAGCCCCTGTGTCCAACCTGGCCTTGAACACTGCCAGGGATGGGGCACCTACCACCAAGGTAGGATCTATTCCAGCTCTGGATTAAACACGTGCATCTGCACGTCACCAAAGGGCAGCAGATCAAGGCTGGTGAGGCAACGAGGAGCCTCTGTCCATCCCTTCCCACTCATGCCTGAAGGAGTGTTGCAGGTCAGGTTCATGTGTCAATGGGTAATGGTTTTGGGCAATGTCATGTCACAGTATGACACAGTGCACCCAGAGAAGCTGTAACTGCCCATCCCTGGCAGCCAAAACGGGGACAACCCACAGCATCCCCCAGCTCCCTGGGTTTGCTACACTGGGGTGAGTGATAAGAAGTCCATAATGGAGCAGAGCAGGCTCTGTTTGCCCACAGTATTGCCTGTGAGCGTGGCAAAGCAGCATCTCAGGAGGAGGAGAAGTCATTCTCACCCTAAGAACAGCCAGAATCTGTGTTATACCCAAAACCACCAGTTCTAATAGCACCTTTTTTAGAACATCCATCACCATAATGACCTTTCTGCTTCACACACAGGTTCCAAGCTTTGTCTTAACCTCAGAGATGTTCCCTGCTAACACCTCCACCACCTAACGTGGCTGCAGCTCACCCATAGCTGAACACAGACACCAGCAGAGCTGAGAGAGGCTCAGAGTCAAGGGTATGGCACCATCCTTTGTGACACCCTCCATCAGATGGGTGCTGCCAGACCAAGTTATTCACCCCAGGGCCAAGCTGATGCTCCATCCATCCAGATAACCCAGAAGAAGCAAGTCTGTGCCTGCACCTACCTCCCAGTGTAGGTTTGGGGCCTCCACCATGCTTTCAATAAGCTCCTCTGTAGCACCAACACACATAATGTTACAAAGCAGAGGGAAGATCTGGTCACGTCTCCCTCCAAAAGAAGCAGCAACGTTGCAGGGGTCTGATGTTAAAAGCTGTTTTGAGTTTATTCTGACAGCTTCTTTAACTTCTTCATGGAAACAATTCATTCCAACAGGCAATAAATAGGAAGCCACAGGCTGTAGTAAAGCTGTTGGCCACCGACACGGACTAACGTGATTCCTAATGGGATTTTACACTCTGAGTGAATAAACTCTGTGTAGAAGCAGCTAAACAAATGGAGAAATTAAGTGATGAACACACAATGGCAATAACACAATAACCAGGGGATGGAAGGATTACCTGGATGTCACAGGGCGTCTCATCCTCCAGTTGGGAATGGGGCTGCTGAAAGGCGATGAGGTTGAAGACACCACGTTCTTCTTCACGATCCTGTAGCGTGTCTTTATCACCTTGTTGGCTGGGGGGCTCCTGAGGAAGTGCAAGTTGGCTCCTACAAGAAAGCAAATGGAAAGAGGGCTTGAAACTCAGGTGTGTGGGGGACAGAGGAGACCTCATCAATGCAAGTCCTGCACAAAGGCCTTCAGATCCATACAAAGAGGGGGGGAAAGTGGCAAATGACCCCTGGGGTGCATCGAGCATGGGACCACCATGGTTTATGGTAACAAAAGGGCTCTGATGGCCTTGGAGGTGTTTGGCTTCACCAACTCAGCAGCAAATCTCTAACAGGTGAATCATGGATTCACCAACACCTTGATCCCCAACACTGGAAATGGATTTACACATTGGGTTCAAACTGAAACAGGAAGATTTAGCTTGGATTTTGGGAAGAAGTTGTTTCCTGTGAGGGTGCTGAGGCGCTGGCACAGGGTGCCAAGAGAAGCTGTGGCTGCCCCATCCCTGGCAGTGTTCAAGGCCAGGTTGGACACAGGGGCTTGGAGCAACCTGCTCTAGTTGAAGGAGTCCCTGCCCGTGGCAGGGGTTGGAGGTGGGGGAGCTTTAAGGGCCCTTCCCACACAAACCATTCCAGGATTCCATGATTTCATCACTCCCCTTTTCCTCCTATTTCACACTCGTTTATTCTGCTGACTGTTTCATGCCATTAACACTTACACGTTTGACTCTGGTTTTCCTCCACTTGATAGCAAGCAATTTTTTGTGCAGCTTTAAGGAATGCATCTAATTGCCTGACTTTTATAACATACACTGTAACTGCCCAGGTAATTAAAGCTGACACTTGGTGCTGAGACCAAGCCTCTGGGTTTATCACTACTTTAAAGGGCCGGCTGTTTTTCTTGGGGATGCTCTAATTATTATATGGTTGAGAGGGGAAAAACTGAATCATCATTTCCCCTGAAAATGCTGGACCCGTCCCCATGTTTGTCTTGGTGAGAGAAGGGAGAATCAGGTTGTTTCCCAGGTAAAGTGGTAGCATGGATCTATGTTGTAACTAGAAAAACAGGGAAATCAAAGAAAGTGGGAGCAGCAGCTCAGGGAGGGGATCCTGCCCCTCTGCTCTGCTCTGGGGAGACCCCCCCTGCAGCACTGGGTGCAGTTCTGGGGTCCTCAACATAACAAGGACATGGAGCTGTTGGAGCAAGCCCAGAGGAGGCCACGAGGAGGATGAGGAGCTGGAGCAGCTCCCGTATGGAGCCAGGCTGAGAACATTGGGTCTGTTGAGCCCGGAGAAGAGAAGCTGCTGGAGACCTCAGAGCAGCTCCCAGGGTCTGAAGGGGGCTACAAGGGTGCTGGGGAGGGACCTTCATCAGGGACTGGAGTGACAGGACAAGGGGTGATGGGTTCAAACTGAGACAGGGCAAGTTCAGGTTAGATCTAAGGCAGAAGCTGTTCCCTGTGAGGGTGCTGAGGCGCTGGCACAGGGTGCCCAGAGAAGCTGTGGCTGCCCCATCCCTGGCAGTGTTCAAGGCCAGGTTGGACACAGGGGCTTGGAGCAACCTGCTCTAGTGGAAGGTGTCCCTGCCCGGGGCAGGGGTTGGGACTGGATGAGCTTTAAGGTCCCTTCCAATCCAAACCATTCCATGACTCAATGACCTGAGGAACTGCAGGTACCCACCGCTTTAGAGGAAAGAAGAGAGGAAAGAAGAGGGAAAGCAAATGGGTTTTCATCGCTGTTTCCCTGTCCTGGGACTTTTTATATCACACGAAATTCTTCAGGGCAGAGTCTTCACCATCACATTGGTTTTTAAAGCCCTTTGCAAGGTTTAAGTTCTGATTCCAACTACTCTCAAGCACCAGCAAAGTTGGAGCATTTTGCTTCCAAGAACTGCATTCAGGATTGCAAAAGGAACAACAAAGGACAGACAAGCAAGGCCCTGCATGGCCCAACACACGTGTTGAAACCCCACCTAGTGCGAGAGTGCAAGACCCTTCTTTCACCCAGGAGGCACGGATGCATCCAGCCTCTCACGGATACAGCATCAACCACGTACCCAAAGCAGCTCTTTCACACCAGGATGGGATGAGAGCCACAACCCCCCATCCTCCCCAAACAGCACCAGCACAAGTTGACCCTTTCCCTCCCCCTTCCAGAATTATTAAGCTGGGAATTCATTGAATCCATTATGAACATTGTTTTGTTGCCCTTACACCAGCTTTAGCTGCCACTCATCATCCCAGAACCTCATCAAACTCCTGTTTGACACCGTCTCCCGCTCGCACAAGCAATCGAGGTCCCAGATTGTTGCGGCTTTAGAGGCATCCTCACCCCCCTTCCCTGCCCAAACGGGCTGGCACCTGGTAAACTCGGTTCCCTGGAGGTAATTGGATGGTGTATTCATGCCGAAGCTGCTCTTCTGAAAGTGCCTGCATGCACAGCTCCAGCATTAACCACCTCCTCAAAGAGCCTCTCCGAAGAGCTCCGGTTGCTATTATTACTTGCTAGCTGAGGGGTTTTGTGTAGATAATCATGTTATTTAGACAGGATGTTGGTTTAATTCCCTTCATTACAGCCTCCCAGGGTTGTAATTTGGGTGGGTTTTTTTTCTCTCCTCCACATGATGTATTCCCCGTGGCACATTTCACTCAAATCAAACACTTTTGGCTTTTATTACAAACAATACCCCAGCGTCCCCCGTTATCAGCCCGGCGCACACACGCGGGCTCCTCGCACAGCTCCAGAGGTCAGGTCTAATGACTAATCGATCTCATTAGCTTTCCTAATTAAAAACTTTACTACCGCAATGGAAGACAAACTACAACCAAAAAAAAACCACCCACCCTGCTTGCATCATCTTGGAATGGGATATGAGCAGCATTTATCAGCCCGGGCTCCTGGCGCAACGGGATGCGCGCTGCTGAGGTCGGTGCTTTGTTCCGAGCTGTGCATCCCATGGGAACGTGGAAAAAACATAGGGTAAACTCTAATCCTGAGCTGGAGATGGGCAATTTGCTGCCAAAACCTCTTGTCATGGTGCTGTGAGCAGATGGGAGCCCACTAGTGAATGCATCCCTTAGGAAAGGGGTTGAATGCAACGTGGATACTTATCACAGAGTCACAGAATGGTTTGGGTTGGAAAGGACCTTAAAGTTCCTCCAGCCACAGGCAGGGACACCTTCCACTAGAGCAGGTCGCTCCAAGCCCCTGTGTCCAACCTGGCCTTGAACACTGCCAGGGATGGGGCAGCCACAGCTTCTCTGGGCACCCTGTGCCAGCGTCTCAGCACCCTCACAATCCTCCACTTCTGCCAAAAAATGAGCGGAGGGGAGTGGATAGGAACTAAATTTGCCTGTTTCTCAACCAAACCAGGTCCAACAGTGCCAGTCCTGACACACAGGTAGTGGGGAATGTTGCACCCTGTGTGACTGTGCTGTTACAGCAGGTCGCAGCATCACCAGCCACCCAAGCACTAACAGGCACGTGTCCAAGTCCATGAGGCAAGAGGACGATGCTGCCGCTCGGGGTGGATGAGGGAATGTGCAATATTGGTGGAGGAAATCCCGTCCTCCTGCTGCTGGGAAAAGGGAAGTTAAACAAGCAGAGTGCACACACTCACAGGCAAGAATCACAGAATCATGGACTATCAGGTTGGAAGGACCTCAAGGTTCATCTGCTCCAACCTTTCTAGGCAGAGCATGACCTGGACTAGATGGCCCAGCACCATGTCCAGCCCAGTCTTAAGTGTCCAATGCTAGGGAGTCACCACTTCCCTGGGGAGATGATTCCAATGCTGTTTGTTCTCACTGGGAAACATTTTCCTCTTGTGTCCAGTCGGAATCTCCCCTGGAGGAACTTGTGCCCATCACCCTGTGCCTTTTCCATGGGATTGCTTGTAAATAGGGAGTCTCCATCTTCTTTGCAGTCACTCTTCATATACTGGATCATGGGGATAACGCCTCCCCCAAGCCCTCTTTTCTCTAGGCTGAACAGTCCCGGCTCTCTCAGCCTCTCCTCAGTTTCCCAGTCCCTGGATCACCTTTGTGGCCCTCCTCTGGACTCTCTCCAGCCCTTCACATCTTCCTTGTGTAGCAGGGACCAAAACTGATCACAGTAACAAGAGATTAATGCTGCTTCTAGACAGGATATGGGATAGGAAAAGCTTCCCTTATGGACACAGGAATGGGAAAAAACTACAGTAACCAATGCTGTGGCCCATGCCATGACCTGGGTCCTGCCAGGTCTCCCACCCTCCATCATCAGACCTCCCATGAGTGAGTCTCTGCCAGGGAACACGAGACACCGGCAGCTCCATCCCGAGCTGCCGTTCAATCCCATTCCAAGGAGAGCCTGGGAAGCAGTGACAGGTACATTGATCTT